GAATCCCCGCACCCTCTCTTTCCTGGGACACTCCTCCCAAGCCATCGTAGTTTCTCACGTCTCCCCAGTGAGCCAGCTTGCTGGTTCAACTGTCATTTCGAGTTGAGATAAAAGCTGGTGGCCCCGGTCTGTACCCCATCCCCAGCCCCTGGGTTCCTGGGGAGGACATTCCTTTCCCACCTCCCCAGGAGCATGTGTGGAATTAGGGGTGTGTAGATCCTCTCAGTGTGTATGGGGAAGAAGTGAGACAGCACTGGCTCCCTCCAGACAATGCAGATGAACCTGTGATGGTTACTGGTAGGAGGTAGGGTGGTATCTGATGATGGCAGGGGCTTTCTAGAGGTTGGGCACGTCTCAGCCATTCATCCTTTTCATAATGACCCCCGCCTGGCCTAACCCTCTTGGGCCCACTGAGTGGGGTGGGCACACAGCCCAGGTCAGCCCAGAGGCTTCCCAAACAAGCTGGCTATCTGAAGCCAAGTCATGAGAGTTTCTTCCTCCCCATCCTTGACTCCCAGAAAGGAGAGCTCACCTGTTGCAGGAGCTGGCTGGGTGGGGAACTGTCCTGCCCTCTGGCCTTAGCACTCACCTGGATGGAGACCTGGGAAGAGGGGGTGGGGACAAGGCCACAGGGCAACTCACTGTGGGTGCCCATGAAGACTCCAGTCAGAAGTTGAGCACATACCAGCTCTTGTGGTGGGGTCTGTCTGCCCCTGGACATCCCTCGCCCTAAGGAGACACCATCATCTCTATCCCTAGCCTGTCTTGCTCTCCCAGTTAATAAATTGGTAGCCGGGCTTGGTGGCTCAGCCTGTAATCCCGCGCCTTTGGGAGGCTGAGGTGAGTGGATTGCCTGAGCCCGCAGGTTCAAGACCTGCCTGGGCAACTTGGCAAGACCTCATCTCTACAATAAATCAAAAATTCGCCAGGCATGGTAGCGTGCGCCTGTAATTCCAGCTACTTGGAAGGCTGAGGCTGAAGGATCGCCGGAGCCCAGCAGGTCGAGGCTGCGGTGGCCAGGAGCGGCCACTGCACTCCAGTCTGGGCAACAGAGCGAGACTCCAACTCAAAAAAAAAAAAAAATTGGTTTGCTTGTATTGAGAGTGAATCTGAGTTTATTTTTTATTTTATTTTTGAGGCCTCACTCTGTTACCCAGGCTGGAGTACAGTGGCACAGTCACAGCTCATGGCAGCCTTCACCTCCTGGGCTCAGACGATCCTTCCATCTCGGTCCCCGCTCAGTAGCTGTGACTACTACAGATGCACCCCACCATGCCTGGCTAATTTTTTAATTTTTATTTAATTTTTATTTTTTTGAGTTGGAGTCTCACTCTGTCGCCCAGCCTGGAATGCAGTGGCACATTCACGGCCACTGCAGCTTTGACCTGCAGGGCTCAGGTGATCCTTCTGCCTCAGCCTTCCAAGTAGCTGGAACTACAGGTGTACACCACCTGTAGTTTATTTATTTATTCTTCATTTATTGTATAGACAAGGGCTCACCAAGTTGCCTAGGCAGGTCTCGAGCCCCTGGGCTTAGGCAATCCTCTCAGTCCGGCCTCCTAAAGTGCTAGGATTACAGGTGTGAGCCACCATACCCAGTCAATTTTTTTTATTTTTGTAGAGATGAGGTCTTGCTATGTTGCCCAGGCTGATCTCAAACTCCTGGGCTCAAGCAGTCCACCTGCCTCAGTCTCCCAAAGCACTGGGATTACAGGGGTGAGCCACCGCACCCAGTTTTTAATGCTTTTCAATGTTCACCTCTCTCTCATTCCCTTCCCCCAGAAGTATTTAATGGCTATTAAATTATTTTAAACTAACTTAAAAAAAAAGCTCAGTGATGGTGCTGACTCAGGACCACCTCACTGTTTAATATTGAATATGCAATTAATAGATAGATGTTTAGGTCTGGCTCCCCATCCCCGCTACTAAAGGAAGAATAAAAGAGCTGATTAATCTGGACCAGGGCGAGTGTCGGGGTAGGAGATATATAGGAGACAGGAGATGAGGTTAGCAACTCAAGTCAGAGAGCTATTGCCTCCCGGGCGAGTTCAGGGAGAGAAGAGCTTGAGTTAGAGAGCTCGGGGGACCGCACTGTGTGGAGGGGGCTTCAAACACCCTTGCTCTGGTTCTAAGGAAACTGGCTGGATGCCAGTCTGCCTGGTTCCTCCCCAGGGTGCCTCTTGGCTCCCCCTCGGACGCCTGGCTCGGTGGCCTTGTTCTTGCCACTCAGACCTTCTTCTCCAGGCATGGAGTTGCCCACCTTCAGGGCCAGCGCCTTCGGGTGCTGCCTCCCCCAGGGTCCCTGGCTGTCCCGCACTGGGGGTCCCCTCTCTGGGACTGCTGGCAGCATCTCTGTCCCTGCTATTTGACTGTCCACGAGAGATGTGCCCTGCATCCTGGCTGTACTACATGGACAGGGTGAGATGGGGATAACCCAGGCCTGGGCCCTGTGGGGCCTGCCTCCCTGGAGGTGGCCTCCAGGTGTGCCCCCAGGGAGGCCGACAGTGTCCCCCATGGACAGGGAAGGGGCGGGAGCCAGCAGCATGAGCCAAGTAGTTTCAATCACTGGGGCCCCTCAGGCCTGAACCACCTTTATCCCTCAACCTGCTGTACCAGGGCCCTCAGGACTGGAAGTGCTCAGTGGGATGTGAGGAGGTACATCCATGCCCTTGGGCATGGGGTCCCTTCAGGCAGCACCCAGACTCCAGCTCAGACCTGAGTCAGGAGGAAGCTTGAGCACAGAGGCCTTGTGTCTAAGTCAGTGCCTTGCTGGGACCTGGAGGGTAGTGGCCTAACTAGAGAAAATGAAGCAGAGTCCTGGGTAGTACCAAGTCCCAGGGATGAGCAGGTTACCTTTGACCACACTCCAAAGGACACTTGGCTCTCCAAATTTGCAAGTAGCTTTTGCCTGTGTTGCTTTTTGCCCTTCATTTCCTGGTAAATATGGCGGGGAGGAAGATGAGAGAGAGACATTCCTCAGTGCCTGGCTGAGCTCACAGAGAGGGAGAGCCATGGCAGGCACAGGGCCTTGGGCCTGCTAGTGGGAAGGGGGGTGGAGAGCCATGGCAGGCGCAGGGCCTTGGGCCTGCTAGTGGGAAGGGGGGCATGGGCACCCAAGCCAGAGCCTAGGGTGATGGGGGTTGGCAGAAGAAGCCAAGGGTTTCTGGCCAGGAGATAGAAGACAGCTGTGACTGGCTGTCTTGTCCTGCTGCTTAGTCCTCCAGTGGTCCCAGTCCCGCCTGTACCTGATGTTACCTTCTCAGGACAGGAAAGGCCCAAACTCCTTACACTCCCCTCAGTGGCTTACTGAAGAGTTCTGGAGTTTTCTGAACCCTCCCTGGGCAGTTCCTGTTTCCAGAGGAGGTGCGGCCATTGTGGGAGAAGGGGCAGTTCCTGTTTCCTGGGGAGGAGCAGCCATTATGAGACAAGACAAGACTGGAGACAGGAGCTGCCTCCCCATGGGAGTGTCCTTCTCATGTAGGGCTGCTGGGTTCACTGCCTGGTCCAACCTCTGTGTGTACTTGAGGTGGGGCCCTCACTGGTGTAAAGGACAGAGCCTCACCTTGGGAGTCCTTAACCCTGTCAGGGCCTCAGTTTGACCATCTGCCTAAGGAAGAGGCTGAGGGCACAGTTCCAGGCAGCGCAGGACAGGGTCCAGCATGGATGAGGCCCATGGATGAGGGACTAGTGGCCAGGAAGGACAATACCCACCTCCCTGAGGAGATGGGTCAGGCAGGGGACACCTAGCAGGGACTTGCAAATTGTTTCCACCCTATGGGGCAAATGTGTGTCTCTCTCTCCCCAGGTGGGGTGGGACAGGCTCTGTATCATGGGGAGCGGTTCACTGCAGAAGGAGCTGATGCCTGGGTGGTCAAGGCTGACCTTTGACGCTAGAGGCATCTTCTTTTCTTTTTATCTTTTTTTTTTGAGACAGGGTCTTGTTCGACGGAGGTGCTGTGGTATGATCATAGCTCACTGCGGCCTCAAACTCCTGAGCTCCAGTGATCCTCCTGTCTCAGCCTCTTGAGTAGCTGAGACTACAAGAGGGTGCCACCACATCCAGCTAATCTTTAAACATTTTTTGTAGAGATGGGGCCTCGTTATGTTGCCAAGGCTGATTTTGAACTCCCAGGCTCAAGCAATCTCCCTGCTTTGGCCGCCCAAGATGCTAGGATTACAGGAATGAGCCATCGTGCTGGGCTGGAGGTATTTTTAAATTTAATTTAATTTTATTGCCTTTTCTTCTCCTCTGATTTTCTTTTAAACTTGCAGTATGTTTGGACTCACCTAGAAAAGCCTAGGACAGGGCTGTGCCCAGGGTGGGCCCTGGTTACCCCTGGGTCTGAGTGAGGGTGAGCAGTACAGCCATAAAGTCATTGCACTGGGAGGGTGGCTGGGGACAGAGCTGCCCCTGGCTGGCTACCTGCCCTGCCCTTCCAGGGCTGGGCTGAGCTTCAAAGTGAGGCAGTTCCTCAGCCCTGGTCTCCTTAGTCGGGTTCAGCCACCCCACACCAGATGGACTCCACGTTTGTGGGATGAGGTGTGCCCTTCTCCTCTGTCCCCCTGCAGCCACCTCCCATCTCCAGGACTGTCACCTCAGCACTGGCCTTGCATGTGCCTGTCCTCACAGACAGCCCCTCTCAGTTTTGCCCCCTATGGCCTGAATTGCCCCTTTGGGCACGCACAGCTGCAATCACTTCCCGCCTCCCTTCCAACTGTTCAAGTCTTGTCACAGTGGGATGTTGCTTAGGTGGGTCCACCCTTTTGGGGTTCTGAAGGGGCAGAGGAATACCCCAGGCCATGCTGCTTGTTTACTCAAACCCCAGTCACCCCCCTGTTTTTCACTCTCCACACCAATCACGCAGAGCTCCAAAGCCCAATCCCCAAACCTCAGCCATGAGGTCCCTGGGGGCAGGAGGAGGAGGCAGGGAGTCGCTGCATCAGGAAGAGGAGGGAGGGGTATCAGGGGGAGGGAGGGGCAGAGACAAGTGTGCCCTCACGTGAAGGGGGCTGGCGCAGGCAGCTACTACCTCCTCGGCTCTCGCTGTCCGCTGGCTTCACCTGGATCGGCCGGTTCATCTGCAACAGAGCACAGGGGTACAGCATTACAGAGGGCCTGGAGGTGAGGGGACAGACACTTGACATGCAGGTGCATAGGCCACACCCACGGACACGCGCACCCACGCACCCACACTCATTGTCACAAAGCCCCACCCATCTCCCCTTCACTGCACAGCTGTGGCCCCATTCTTTAAGGGGTCTTTAAGGGGAGCCTCTGGACTAGACACCCTGAGGTGCCCCCTCCTCCCACATTGAGCAGCTCTTGCTAGCCTGTGATATCAAAACCCCAGGGTGACAGATGTGCCTGCCTTGCCCCTCTATGGAGCATGAGGCCCAGATGTTCCCAAAGCACACTTTTGGCCTGTCCTGGTTCACTCAAGGCAGCTTGCTTTGCTGAAATGAAATGGCCAGGTAGGGCGTTGAGCATCCCGCCGCCCGACACCATGTTGCAGATGTGGCCTGTGGGTCATGGGTGACAGAGTCTCTGGGCCGCCCAGTTTCTGGGTAGGAGCAGAGCTCAGGGCTGGGGCTCCTGGTTACAACCAGGGTGTCCCTTCAGGGTGTGCGTGGGGCGGGCACAGCTACTCGTCCCCCGTGCTGTCTGGGTGCCAGGAGGATGCGAGGATGCGGCGGACTCCCCAAGCCTGCTGGACGCTGGCCTCCCTCAGGGACCTGTGTCAATGCCTTGTTCAGCCACTAGGGGTCTCTGGACTCCAGGCATCCTTGGGCTCGACCGCACTGCTTCAACATTCGCCTGGAGGGACCTGGGTGGCTCCCCAGACCCCTAGGTCCTAGCATATCTTAAGCAATAAAAATAATAGGGGTCCCGCAGAGGGGTCTGTCCTTATGTCTTTGCCGGGGCATCTGCCAGTAGCTTCTCCCCGATCCCTTAATTCATTTGCATTCTCCCCCCAAACTCAGACCTGAGAGGCAGGAGGGGCAGGGACAGACAACCCCATTTCAGAGATGGAGACGCCAAGGCAAAAGAAGTTCACGTGCTTTCCAAGACCTCCGCATGGCAGGACGAGCCTGGAGCTCGGGTCTGCCAGGGCTATTTCTGCACTTCTGTCCCGTGCCTGCAGACCTGCTGTTGCCAATTTCCTCCCGTACAGGGGCTGGACCAGCCAGTCACAAGCTTCCTCCTCCCTTCCGGTCTGAGACTCGAAAGGAGTTTTGGCTGCAGCGAGACAACTGGGTGGGGGAGTGTGGGTGCCTATGACTCAGCAAGGTGAGTCTGAGGCCAGGGGAAGGGCAGAGATGCTGCAAGGAAGGACAGAGACAGGAGGCAGGACACAGCAGACAGTGAAGTTGGCACAGGTAGCCAGGGGCAGCGAGACAAGACGCTGAGGCCAGTCTACTGAGATCGGCCAGGGTGTCATTTTTTGCCACCAGGTTCCCACTCGACACCCCTGATGGAGTTGAGGGAAAGAGAGGTGCTTTGTGTGTGAGCTCTGGCAGCAGAGGAAACTGCCATGTTTTGGCAAACTCCAAAGGCAGGGAGAGGGAATAGGAACATAAGGAAGGTGCTGGTTTTCCTGTGAACCAGCTCTGTGCTAGTCCTTGAGGAAAGGTTCTAGAAGGCCAGTCAGATACCTGGTTGAGGGAGACGGGTTCAAGAAAAGAGCCAGACTGCTCCTGGTTTCCTGTCCAGTGCTTTCTGGGACTCAGTATCCCTTCTTTTCTAGGTTGTCCATTTCTCCTAAAATGCCACACCCTTCCAGCCCTCCCCTCAGACTGCAATATTCTTCTACCCAGAAATGACCTAAGGACCGATCTGGACCCAGTTCTGGCCATGGTATTCTCTTGGGCTCGTTTCGACAACTTTCCTGCTTATGTAATTTTACCATTCTCTGAGGTAAGGACTATTATGTCCATCTTTTCAATTAAAGGCCAAAGCCCTGAAGTGTGGCAGACTGGGGTTCTGGCAGGGTGGGTAGGCATGACAATAATTCATCTCATTTGACTTCAGCTGCTCTGGGAGGAGGGGCCCAAGGAGGAAGTAAGGGGGTAAATGCCCATCAGGGAAGGGGAGTTTGGGGACAGGTTCTTCGGGCCATCAGATAGAGCACCACCTTTTCCGCCTGACCCCCTCAAATCTGGCCCTGCTACCTCTCACATCACCCCCCTTTCACAGTCCAGCACCTTCCTTCCCAAAGTCCATTCCTTGGGCCTGCAAACTCCCCCTCCACTCCACCCATCCTCTTCCTCTCGACTTTCTATTCACTCTTCCCCAAGGCTCCTGTCATGAACTGAAGTGCATCCCCCACAAATTCACACTGTGAAGCCCTAACCTCCAATGCGACTGTATTTGAAAATAGGGCCTTTAAGGAGGTACTTGGGTTAAATGAGGTTGCAAGGGTGGGGCTCTAGCCCCATGTGACTGGTGTCCTTTCAAAGAAGAGGAAGAGACACCAGGAATGGGCACACAGAGAGGATGTGGTGTGAAGACACAGCAAGAAGGTGGTCATCTGCAAGCCAGGAAGGGAGCCCTTGCCAGAAACCAGCCCTGTCTATACTTTGATCTTGGACTTCCAGCCTCCAGGACTGTGAGGAAGACATTTTGATTGTTTAAGTGACCCAGTCTGTGCTATTTTGCTATGGTAACACTAGCAAACTCGTAAGTTCACGAAGCCTGGAGAGAAACTACAGGGAACCCCCCTTTCCAATACAGAAGGTACACTCAAGGCTGGGACTTGACTTGAAGGGAGGGGGACTCGGGCTGCTCAGGTCTCCCAAAGGCTACGTGACTTTCTTGAGAACAGGAACAGCTGCTATATACATTGTATTGCTAGATTATCACAATTCCTCCTATGATGCAGGCGAATAGATGATCTTTAACTTCCGTCAAGGAAATAGAGTTTCAGGGAGGTTACCAACTTGAGGTCACACAGATGGTAAATGGTGACATTGAGATGAACTCAGGTCTCCTGGCACCTGTCCACACATTCAGGAGATGCTGGGGCCAGGCAGGGTGGGCCTGGAAAGTTCAAAGCAGAGGGTGGGGTGGGGGGAGGAGGGAAAGGGAGGGGAGTGAGGAGTCAGGTGGGGGCATCCGAGCTTCCCCAGCAAGGATGGAGGAATGTCTGGCTGAGAAGGGGATGGCAGAGGGCTATGAACCACACCCAGCTGGGCCTGGTTGATGTCCCAACTAAGGAGTCAGGTGGGAGATCTTGCCCAGGAAGACCCCTCCCTTCTCCCTCCATGGGGGAAAGGCTGGGGCCATTGGGGGGAGGCTCCTTCCCTGGCACCCAGGGCAGCACTATTTCTAATATGGTTGGACCCATTGTGCATGGTAAATTAAACAAGGCAAATAAAATCTCCCTGTGCATGGCTCCTTCCTATAAGGTGGGCACCCACCCTCGGGCACCCAGCCTGCTGCTGCCTGGTTCTTAGTACTGGGGGGCTTGTGATGTTCTTTCCCAGAATCCTTGACTTAGACCTGACAACATCTCCCCAGGATGCCTCCTGACCATGCCAGCCCTGAACAGTGTACCCAGACCTCCTGGTGCTGGGCTTACCTGCTCATGCACAGGTCCCTCTGTTTCTTCCCAATTTCACCATGGGCTTTCTGACAGTGGGGACCTGAGGTCTCACACAGCTTCGCTCCTGCCCTCGTCTGTGGGCTGGGCACCCATGGGGTGCTCCAAACAGACTGCTAGAGCCTAACTGAGTTGGTTCTCACACAGCTGTGGCTCCTGGGATCATTTTTCATGTCCCATTATAATCTGAGGGTGGTCAGCGTCCAGACAGTCTTTGCGGCTTGTCAGAGAGGTGCTGGGCTAGATGGCGAGATAATATACGGCCCTGTGCTTTCTTAATTCTCAGCAGAAATAAAGTGTCAGGCTCAGTCGGGAAGATTTCTCAGCTGGAGCAGGCTCTGTCCAGGCGGCTCAGGCCTCAAGGGAGGCCTCCCTCCCGCCCACCCTCCCTCC